TAGAAACCATTGTATTGCCTTCTCTGGTGTGCCACAAAGTTAAAAGTTTAACTGATAGTCAGCCTTAACCACCAATCTCCCAGTCAAATTCCCTTCTTTCTGTGCTTCATTTTATTTATTTATTTATTTATTTAAATTTTTGAGTACAGTGTCTTGCTCTGTCGCCCCAGGCCCAGAGTGCAGTAGGGCAATCTCAGCTCACTGCAACCTCCACCTCCTGGGTTCAAGCAATTCTCCTTGCCTCAGCCTCCGAGTAGGCCAGGATTACAGTGGTGTGGTCACCACAACCCAACTAATTTTTTTGTATTTAGTAGAGATAGGGTTTCACCATGTTGGCCAGTTCGTCTCATACTCTTGACCTCAAACTGATTCACCCGACCTCGGCCTCCCAAAGCGTGCTGGATTAGAGGCATGAGCCACCACAGCCAGCCTGTGCTTCATTTTAACGTTTGCTAAGCTTAGTGCACTTGTCACCAAAAGCTTATTCAAGATGGGCTTCTTGGCAGATAGATCAAGTATGCTGTCTTTTTTGGTCCTGGTCCAGTCATTCTGTTTTAGTCTTGGGAAGTGGGTATGAACTAGGAAGCCTGAGAGACACCAAATAGCAGACTAAGGTAAGGCCTTTCCCTTACATGGCCTCACTTTCCACCTCTGATGTTGTAGTCATTCGCCTTTCAACTGCTTTTGTGAGGTGTGGCTATTCAGCAGGGGTGAAGGGCCTTTGCCTTTCTGTTGGTTTGAAGCAACAAACTCTATTTAGAGTGGTTTAGATAATGAGTAGTCTTTATTTTGGAGGAAATAACCATGCGGCATCTTTTGTCAATAAAGGTTGCTAGGGATGGTGTAGTTTGTTCATTTTTCATCCAGTTATGAAGTTAGGAAGGCTCAGATGTGTAATGAGATCCTAAGCAAACTTTAACTAGTAGGTCATTTAAGATTTTGCCAGCAGGTGGCACTTCTCTTTACTCACTTGAGTCCCTTAATGTGATCTTAGACTTAAGTCTAGCCAGACGCTGACATGGTGGTGGCTCATTCCTGTATTCTCAGCACTTTGGGAGTTTGAGGCAGGCAGATCACTTGAGGTCAGGAGACAAGCCATGGCCAACATGGTGAAATCCCGTCTCTACTAAAAATACACACAGAAAAAAAATTAGCTGGGCATGGTGGTGCACACCTGTAGTTCAAGCTACTTGGGAGGCTGTGGCAGGAGAATGACTTGAACCCAGGAGGCAGAGGCTGCAGTGAGCCGATATCATGCCACTGCACTCCAGCCTGGGTGGTGACAGAACAAGACTCTGTCTAAAAAAAAAAAAAAAAAAAAAAAAAAAGTTTAGCCAGACCCAAACATTTCTCTTTCCTTTGTACCAGTGTAGTCTACAATATCTGTTTATGATTGTTATATATATATATATATAATATATATATATTTTTTTTTTTTTTTTTGAGACGGAGTCTCGCTCTGTCGCCCAGGCTGGAGTGCAGTGGCACGATCTCGGCTCCACTCAAGCTCTGCCTCCTGGTTCACGCCATTTCTCCTGCCTCAGCCTCCCGAGTAGCTGGGACTACAGGCGCCCACCACCACGCCAGCTAATTTTTGTATTTTTAGTAGAGACGGGCGTTTCACTGTGTTAGCCAGGATTGGTCTCGA